TCCTCCCGGGAGATATGCCTTTTTTTAGCCCTAAATCACAAAAAACGCCCCCCTTTAAACCTCCCGAACCTCCCTTTTTACCTGGCAGCCTTCCTTGGGGGGCCCCCCCCCCCACCCCCCCCCCCCCCCCACAGCAGGCTTTTAGCCCTTCAGAAACAAACCTCCTTCATCCTGTGAAACTTCTTCCTCCCCTCGTTCAGCAGCAAGAGCTTCTTTTAACAGTTTCTTGGTTTGTTTTATGTGTGGCTTGGAAATCGAATATTTCTCAGGCTGCACCTCTGACAAAGCTACACGAGTGATAACGGAATCCATGTGACAAACATCATCAAATGAAACCTGGAAGAAGAAATTCTAGTATCTTGAAAGCCATAATTAGGTTAAATAACAAAGACAGACTGTGCAACCGCAAGAAAATTGAATTACTTACTACCGAGGAACAACTATTACTATTGAATATGGACAAGTTTGGTTTATGCATGTAGCAAAAATAATTTAATTCTGAATGGAAATACAGTTGAACATCACTAAAAATAAACTCCATATATGAAGTCCTTGGTATAACGAACAATTTTCTTTACAACAGTAATATATAGCAAGACACATGAAAAAAAACCTTGATGTAACAGATCAGAACCACTTTTAGTGTAAAAGTCTTGCAAGTCCCTTGGCCCTTCGTGTAATTATTTCAAGGTTCAACTGTAATTTTTGAAGAATCCCTCACATTGCCTTAAATGAGGCTATTGCCGCTAATTAATTCGGAGCCACAATATAACGCTGTAAATTCCGGTGTCTAAAAGAAACAAAACAAAACGGAGTGACTGTGGGAGTGGCCGCATCACGCGAAAAACAAACAGTAACGCAATCCAACACCACTTGTTTATTTCCACCACGTTTTGTGCCCTTTCTAAGACAACACGAGTTACCTCTTTCCCAGACGATAAAGATATGACTACGTTCATTCACTATAACATTCGAGAGGTCTGCTAGCAACCAGAAAGGAAAAAAGCAAAATTTTCCATTCGAAGCTCTGAGCAAACCACAAGGGACAAATTATAAAAGACCATGGCTAAAAAAGGCCTTTCTCGTGACTGTCGTGATAAACGCCGAAAAGGACTTATAACAATAATCGGAAACATTTGTAAAATTAATACGAGAAACGTAGCTCACCTCGTACAAGTTATCATCAACTCTATTAAACCATGCCACTCCAAAGCTAGTAGCGCTTTCGGGTACGTCTTCGAGCACGCGACAGACGTAGAAATCACCTTCCTCTCCGCGCACAGTCAAAACATCGCCCGCGTAGAACTCAAACTCTTCAGTTAAATCTGCCAAAGGAACAACTTTTCCTCTTCTTTTCATGGACATTAATCGGCGTGACATACGCAGCGGAGGTGCAATTTCTTCCTCCTCGACGCTCGCACGCGTTTGTCCTCCTCTGGTCGACGCGGAAAGTGATTTCTTGCTTGAAGCGAGGGAAACAGAAATGTCATTTTCATCTTCGCTAGAAACCGCTGCATCTGTATCTCCACCCTCAGAATCACCATCGCCTTTTTCATCAAGCAAATCACCTTCACCTGGTGGTAATTCTCCACCTTCGAGGTCTTCAACTTCTTCGTCCACATGTACCTCAAGATCTTCTTCTCGTACTTGGTCGGGATCAGCCTCGGATGGCGGTCGGCTTGCCGATTCACAAGTTTCCCTTTCCAACTCGACTAAAATTGCTAAAGAAGACTGTTTCTTAAGAAGACGAGGTCTAGTTGACATTTTAAACAGTCGATTCTTTTGATTCACGTTTAAGCCAAAAATTCAACTAAAAACAATGCCCCACAAGCTGTTTGTCCCTCAGGCGTCGACTGAGATGTGACTGTTGATTCTCTTGGAACTCCGCAATGATACTGAGTGAACTGATAAGTGGATGAATTTAAAGCCAAATAAGTGCGTGGGCAGATGGTCTGGGCAAGCCCAAAATTACAAATTAAAGAATTGCAAGGCACGCTTTTCTGTAATGTCCGCCTACGTTCACGCTTCGTTCCTTTTCAAAAAGGGAAGAGGCAGAGACTGGTTTCTACTTCTGGCATTTCTTGCGTGACACGTAACCATGGATGATAGACGTAACACAACTGGCGTCTCAAAAGAACTTGCGCGAAACCCACTTTTTGAAATCTTTCATACATTCTGTCTTAGCTTACGAAGGCCCTTCTTTTTTTTCCCGCAGAAATTTTATTAAAACTAAAACTAACTTTTTCGAAAACCTCGCCTCCACTAGCTTGCAGAAACACCCCACCCCCGACCCCGCCTCGGCTTCCCCCTTGAAACTCACAATGCATCATGGGTGTGGTTTAGTTACCCTCCAAAATGGCGGAAGGAGACAGCATTTTCTCCAAAATCATTCGTAGGGAGATTCCTTCTGAATTCCTTCACGAGGATGAACAAGTATGGTATTCTCATTTAGTTTGTTAATTTGAACCATTTAAGATTTGCGACTCAACATTATTATCAACAACTTTGCTTTTTGATGAGGTGATTGAAGACTTTTGAAAATTAAGCTTATTTGAAGACCTTTAAAACTCAACAAAGGTCCATAAGTTGTGCATTTCACATTTGAAATAAGCCTTCCCCATAGTCAAGATTTGTTCTTGTTTGCAAATCCCAGCCTGTCTTAGCTTTATCAAATTAATCCTGTCGGCCAGAACCCCTTTAGAACCTCTAATTTGATAGGTCCTTGTTGGCCCAAAGCTCTACTATATTGTTTCAAAGCTGGGGTTCATTGTTAGTTTTGTTTAGGTTAGGGCTATCTATTGTTTTCAAAACCAATCCTGTGAGCCGTTCTTAGAGCTTCCGGCAGGCTGTCAATCTTTCTTTAATCTCCATACCCTCATAAGTGAACCATTTTGACTCCATAACCCACTCTGGAACCCCTGGTATTAGTGATTTTTCTTCTTGGATGGTGAATTCTCAGAGGCAGGGACTCTTAAACAGTCAAATACCCCACAGTGAGGACCCAGCCTCAGGATATTTGTCAATCAAATCACCAGACTGCGGCAGTTCTCATTCATCGCAGTGTAGAGTAGTTTTATTTTCAGCATTTTTAATGTATGATTTTTCATTTGGTGCATCTGCATCTCCATCCTTTACAAACAAGCCAATCCACTCTTCTTTTCCTGAAAATTCCTCCATCTTTGCCGCTATGTTTGAGTTTCGAGTCAGAAACCATGTGCATGTGAAAACCCATGGGTGAACCCGGGATTGGCAAAAATACCCATCCCCCGGGTCACAAAAAGGTGCTAATGCCCCACCCCGAGGACTGATAAGGCATGTAAATCACCCACATTTGCCTGTGGGGGATGGGTGCAGCAACTGACTGATGGATAACAGCTTGAAATGGTTATGATTCCAGTGTGTTGCCATAAAGGACATAAATCCTCAGGCACCTGTACACTTCCTTGTCATTCCAAAGAAGCCGATTCCCCAGCTGTCAAAAGCAGATGATACCGATGAGCAGGTGAGGATAGTAAGGGAAGGTTAAATGGACTGATATTTAAAAGGGTGATACCGTGTGGCACAGAATTTTTGCAGGTTCTTATTTTTGTGATAATTATTTGCAATATTATTACAGTGATCTGCAAAAACAAGTTCCCACAAATAAAAATTACCACAAACATTTTTCCTGAAAAAATTTACTCCTGAATCAATATTCTCTAACAAAAATACACTACTAAGAAACTGTGTCGGTTCAATTACAACTTTCCTCTTTCATTCATTCAGAAACAAAACAGTATACAATGTTCTTTTACACAGGGTGGGCATATTGTAGTATTGTATTTCTATTGCACCTACTTAACAAAAGCAAAAATATTATCAATGCTGAGTACATAGTGGGTACCGGTACTTTCTAAAAATCGAAAAATTAATTCATAGCAAGAAAGAACAATCTGTCTTCATCGCAAAAATTAGTTCTTGCAAAACACAAAAAATCGCCAGTCCACAAAAATATACTCCTGCAAAAATTTTGTGCCACGTGGTAATCTCCTTGCAACTAACAGGTTCTCGGGTCACATGATCTGCACCCAAGATGAACTAATAACTCACCTCTTACGACCTCATTACACTATAGCCACCCACAACCCTCTGTGTGAAACCACATCCCTTGTGCCACTCAAGGAAAAGATAGCCAGTAACTATTATGGGGTAAATAGAACTGAAAATTTTGCCTCCTTCATATGTGAAGAAACGAGAAAAGAATGATAACCAGCATCATGCACTTCCAGAAAATTCTGGAGATTTTGTGACCAGAAAACAGCTTGACAAGCATCTCAGAGTATTCTTATTATTGATTTATCATTATCATTACTGTATTATGATAAACGTTTTTTAAAACACAAGCTTTTGATTCCACTGGGACTATCTGAACGACCAGGATAATCAAGAAAACCAGGAAAACTGGGAAAACCAGGAGGCCATGATGACTGGGATGACTAGGACCACCAGAACAACTGAGACAACTGGGACAACCGAGGCAAACCAGGACAACCAGGATAACTGGGACAACTGGAAAGACTGGGATGACTGTGACCACTGGAACAACTGAGACAACTGGGATAACTAGGACAGCTAAGACAACTGGGACAACCGAGACAACCAGGACACCCACAACTGGGACATTTGGGATAACTAGGATGACTATTATAGCAAGTGCGTCGACAATGGTGGTGGGGGATCATCTAAAGTTGTCAGGCTACACCTTTGATGTGTCCTCCTCTTCGATTCTCATAACGGAGGAGTTAGGAAGACAATCAAAATATTATTTTGTCAGGCTACAACATTGAACAGAGACGCTTGTTACGAGGTCCTTGTGATTCATTGAAACGTTTTGTTTCGTGATTAATTAAATGGCATTGTAAATCGCAAGACAAAATGCCTAAATCCATCACTTGATAAAGATTCTCTGATGGAATCAAAAGCTTGTGTTTAAAAAAGTTTTTTCCTATCCTGTATATTGAATCGTCATTTATCACTGTGACAGGATTAAGTGAGTCTTTTTTTGCTAAGACATTATCATTATTAATTTATTAATACTGTTGTTATTATTATTATAATCATAACTATAACAAATTTGTCAAATCTGATTGGCTATCAACTGCCCTGATTTCAGCCTTAATTGGACAGTTTAATAAGAAGTACGTGCCATGCCTAAGAAATTGGACAGTACGTGCCATCACGCGCGCGCTTAAATGGCTTTCTTTTTCGTTACTGCTAGCAAAACAAAATTTCGAATTTCGTGTTTTGATTTAAAAAATAGCCTATTATGTCACAAATTTTGTTAAAGTTATGATTAATTGGTAACAGAACTTTGTGTCGTCCAATTCGGTCTGTGATCATACTCGTGATGAAACAAATCGGACTCCCGCCATGCGGTCGTCCGATTTTGTTAATCACTCGTATGATTACAGACCAAATTCGAATCCACTCGTCCTGTTACCATTACTTATTATTATTATTATTGTTGTTGTTATTATTATTATTATTATTATGCTAGAGGGTGAAAGGGGTAAATCCTTGCAAGTTACATGGTTAAATGACTATTGTGATACTTCACATACCAACCTAGCTTGTTCAGTCCCCTTTTTTTCCATAAGATCATCAAGATTGAGCACTTTGCATTAGCGGTGGCCACCATCAGCTATCTTGGCTAAATAGCCTGTTGAGGAGTGTCTCATTGCTTGATACATATGAAACCAAGATGGCTACCCCAAATGGTATGTGCTTGATCCTGACAATCTTATGAAAAGATAGGAATATATCTAATATCGACCCAGCTCTCTACTGCTACTGGCATTTATGACTGTCTGGAAGCAAGAAAACAAGAGATTTTGTAAGATCATTTTTCATTTTCAATATTTTGTCTCAGTTACTAGGCCATCTACTGTTAGTTGCCAAAAAAGTTGCAGCTGAACAGAACCTGACCAAAGGGTTTCGCATAGTGATTAATGATGGCAGTGAGGGAGGACAGGAGGTGTACCATATCCATGTTCATGTTTTGGGTGGACGACAATTGACCTGGCCCCCAGGTTAGGTGAGTAACTTGCAAATTACCCCCAGTTGGTTCTAAGCATGTACACATGATGAAAAAATGTATGTTCGAATTGGGTGCAAATACTACATGTTTGCCTCCAAGCATTCAAAGTTTAGGGTGTTGTCAGTTGGCCTTGTTTCTTACGGGAGGCAGTGTTTAAATTTTGCCGTTTCTGGGTAGGTTGCTCATGGAGGTTTGAGTGGATTTAAGAGACAAATGAAGATCACTCTGCTGAGGACATTTTTGCTGCATATTGAATAGAAAGAGGACTCTCTTTATGGTTACCGAGTGGCCATTCTCTTAGCCTTCAAAATTCATTTAATCGTGACAAAAGTTCTTCTTCAGAGATTATTAAAGTACACAGGGTTCGTACAGAGTCTTGGATTCTTACAAATGTCTTAAAATTTATCCAGCTATTTTCCAGACCAGGAAGATAGATGAAGTTTGGAAAAAATGAAAAAAAGTCTTTTCTAAGCTGCAACAATTGCTTTATAAGTAATTTTATTCAACTTCGCCTGTATTTTCGCAGGGCACCATGAAAAAAGTTGTGTTCCTTCACCTGTTTGATAAAACTTTGAGTATGGAAAAAGAAATTATTGTTTTGGAAAAAGGTCTGGAAAAAGTCTTGAATTTTGGATCCAAAAATCGTCTGAACCCTGAACTGTAAAGCACTGCAAGCCCTATTTGCTTAGTAGCTTGACCTCTATAAGTGAGATTTTTTATGTCTAATGTGAAATTGGCTGAAGTTATGCTGGAAGCTAGGGTATCTAATATACCTTGACCAGTAGTAATCAAGATGCTTCAAATGTTAAACTGTTATCGCCAGATGTTGAATTTATATTTGTGATCTGGCTTATTGTCCCTGTTAAGTGCAGACCATCTTGATCATCTAATTTCCTGATGGCTTAAAGGGCCTATGTCATGCTATTTGCTGTTATTTATAAACAATTTTATATGAACAGTTTCTAATGTTATGCCTGCAAAAACTACCAAAGAAACTATAATGGCTACTTCTCGACGATGAAATTTGTTGATATCATCTTCATAACTCTACAGAGGATTATTTTGTGTATGGAGGCAAACATCCCCCCTTTAAAACAACTGGGACACTTATCGCTACTTCTCAATTTTGCAGGTGCAAGAAACACATCTTCACTGTAGCTGCATGGAATGTTATTGTTTGAAAATGAAAAGAAAGTAAATAAAGCGTCCAAATTGGTAAAAGTTGTTCTCTTTCTTTTATACTTCACCCACTGAAACTCTTTTCTTAAAAAAGTATGTACTGACACTTATTGTCAGATCCCAAGGGAAATAGAGAGAGCCCTGATGTTTCCCAAGACAAAGTCAAGGGAAACATCAGAACTCAAGTCATTGAAGGGAAAACAAAAGTATCTGGTTTCCTGAGGCACCTGTGTATAACAATAACGTTTATCTATACCGCGCAAATTCAACTATACAGTTTTCAAATACGCCTTATATATGGGGTATATAGGGTTGTACCGCTGTGAAGCGTATGGTTTTCGAGTAGTTTACTGTTGGATAGGGTATTTAAAATCAGAGAGTAGTAGTTGGGGTCTAGATTAGGTTATCATTTTCCAGGAAACTGATCAATTGGTTGGAGATTTTAGTCTAGACTTGGGAAAGTGGGAATTTCCACTCCAAAAGATATAAAAATCAAATCGGCTAGTTTAAATTTATGCATCTCGGCCTAAAAGTCACTCTAGGATAGGGGTAGCCTGCGTAGCAGGTGCTTGGAAGTAGAGGGTGAAAGAGAGAACAGGTGCGCGCGAGGGAGACACGCGAGGGGCGAGGGAGTGAGGTGTGGTTAAGGGAAAATTTAAAGCTGTGTGTTAACCATCAGTTTATTGCTCCATCACTCTATCATCAGATAACCCAGCTGATCTTAATAACAGATATATCTAGACCGAAGATAAAATGTACAATGCTTTTTGGCAGCACGCTTTGTTTGTGCGAGGTCAGTCATTTTCTGTCAAAACTTAAAACTTAAAGGATGGCAGCTGATACGATGGACGGGTTTCTCTCAAAACCTGAAATTCAAAGAAAATAATAATAATTATTCCATGTGATTAAGTTGACTAAAACTGGTAGCATAGCTTTTGTTGTTGTATCAGCTGAATGAGCAAGTCTTAAGTCTCAATCTCTGAAGGAATTCTTTATTTGAAATAAGATCCTGATATCCAGGGTTATATATTCTGTGTGTTAAAACCTGTTAACACCTAATATCAGAGTTTAAATTCTCATTTGGTGCCCCATACAATTTCCATTAAAGTTGTGGGAAGAAGTTGTTAAATTGTGAACTATCTTGTGTGATCATGTGCATAAAAATCTTATCGCTAATCTGCTTTACAGAGCATTGATATTACAAGGAGAAATTTGATGCTGATCAGTCTTGCGGCTTAAAGGGTTAAGCTTGTATTCAACATCTCTTGGTCAGTTTTCCTCATCCCATCTAAATAGAAGATCAAGAAGGAGGTTGTTCACTGTATTTTTATAGCACAACCGCACACAACTCTTACATGTAGTCACTGGGTTTCCACACAGCAGAGGAGTAAATACTTCTTCCTCATAATGGCATGTCTGTATCTCCTTCACAGAAATAATCTGTTCAAGAAAAGAAAGATAACGAAAACAGTGAGTGATAAAAGGAATGACAGCTAAAAGTGGTGTATTAAACTACCAAAAAAACAGTTTATTTTACCGCTAACGTGCATTTCCTAGCTCATCATGCTTTTGCATGCATTATGCTAATCCCAGGAGGTTAAGAAGAAAAAAAACCAAAGTCGGTTGAACAGTTTCATTTCAGGCTGGTGTACATTTCGTTAATTTCTCACTCATTCAATAAAATTCAAAATCACTACCAATATTGCAGTCAATAAATAAAAAGGATATCACATCACCAAAGTCTAATTCCATTATTCCCATTAATAAGCTACCCGGCACCACAGGCATCACACGTGTGACATTATACCTCTGTCATCTGACATCGGACATCTGTTATCAGACATCTGTCTTCAGACATCTGACATCAGACGTCTGACATCATACCTCTGTCATCAAATATCTGTTCAGACGTCTCACATCAAACGTCGGTTCTCAGACACCTGTCATCAGACATCATACCTTTGTCATGAGACATCTTACATCAGACACCTGTCATCAGACTTCTGACATCAGACATCTGTTATCAGACATTTGTCATTAGACGTTTAACATCTGACGTCTGTCTTTAGACATTAGACATCAGTCGTCTGACATCAGAGATCTGTCATCACACATAAGACATCAGACGTCTGACATAAAACATCTGTCATCACACATCTGACTTCCGACGTCTGACATCATACCTCTGTCATCAGACATCTGACATCAGACGTCTGTTGTCAGACATCTGTCATCATATCTCTGTCATCAGATGTCTTATATTAGACGTTTGTTATCGGCCATCTGTCAGCAGACCTCTGACATCAGACGTCTGTTATCAGACATCTGTCATCAGACGTCTGACATCTGACTTCTGTCTTTAGACATTAGACATCAGTCGTCTGACATCAGAGATCTGTGATCACACATAAGTCATCAGATGTCTGACAACAAACATCTGTCATCAGACGTCTGATATCAGATATGTCATCAGACGTCTGATGTCAGACATCTGTCATCACACATAAGACAGATGTCTGACATCAAACATCTGTCATCACACATTTGCCTTCAAACATCTAATATCATACCTCTGTCATCAGACGTCTGTTGTCAGACATCTGTCATCAGACTTCTAACATCAGACGTCTGGTATAAGACATGTCTGACATCAGACATGTGTCATCACACATAAGAAATCAGAAGTCTGACATCAGACATCTGTCATCTGACATCAGATGTCCGACATCACACGTCTGTTGTCAGACATGTCATTAGACATCTGACATCACATGTCTGACATCATACCTCTGTCATCACACGTCTGACATAAGACGTCTGTTGTCAGACATCTGACATCAGACATCATACCTCTGACATAAGACGTCTGTTGTCAGACATCTGACATCTGACATTAGACATCAGACGTCTGGTATCAGACATCAGACGTCTGACATCAAACATCTGTCATCACACAACACATCAGACATTTGACATCAGACGTCTGACATTATACCTCTGTCATCAGACGTCTGACTTTAGACAACTGACATTAGACATCAAACGTCTGATAACAGTTATATAACATAACATATAACATCAGACATCTGATAACAGTTATATGACAGCAGATACATGACATCAGATGTCTGCTGTCATATAACTGTTATCAGAGATCTGAAATCATATAACTGTTATCAGACGTCTGATGTCATATCAGACATCTGATAACAGTTATATGACAGCAGACATCTGACATCAGACATCTGCTGTCATATAGCTATTATCAGAGGTCTGACATCATATAACTGCTATCAGACGTCTGATAACAGTTATATAACATAACATAACATCAGACGTCTGACATTATACCTCTGTCATCAGACGTGTGACATCAGACGTCTGACTTTAGACAACTGACATTAGACATCAGACGTCTGATAACAGTTATATAACATAACATAACATCAGATGTCTGATAACAGTTATATGACAGCAGACTTAAAACCTGTTAACACCTAATATCAGAGTTTAAATTCTCATTTGGTGCCCCATACAATTTCCATTAAAGTTGTGGGAAGAAGTTGTTAAATTGTGAACTATCTTGTGTGATCATGTGCATAATAATCTTATCGCTAATCTGCTTTACAGAGCATTGATATAACAAGGAGAAATTTGATGCTGATCAGTCTTGCGGCTTAAAGGGTTAAGCTTGTATTCAACTTCTCTTGGTCAGTTTTCCTCATCCCATCTAAATAGAAGATCAAGAAGGAGGTTGTTCACTGTATTTTTATAGCACAACTGCATACAACTCTTACATGTGGTCACTGCGTTTCCAC